TCCAGAACTGCGTGAAATTTCTGTTTAGAAATTACCCTGTTTGTGTGGTATCTTGTTATAATACAAACACAAATAGACCAAGACATTGCTATTGTGAAATTTTAGTGATGTGTTGCAGAATTGATCTCTTTTTCTCCAGTGTAATAGACACTTAGTGGTTTTTTTGTTTTGTTGTTTTGAGAAAAGCTGGTCTTGAACTCACTAGGTAGTTTAGTCTGGTCTTGATCTCACTATGTAGTTCAGGCTGGCCTTGAACTTGTGATGATCTTCCTCCTGCAGCCTGCCAGGTGCTGGAATAACAGGTGTGTGCTACCATGCCTGGCTTTCAGTATGTCCTTTAACATGGAAATGTGTGTTCTTCAGTTCTGAATTACTTGGTTGATGCTGTCCCTCCTCTGTGTTCTGTGTTCTCTCTTTCTGGAATTTATACATTGGTCCTCTAATTTTTTACTTTCTCTTAATATTTTTCTATACTTTTGGGGAGATTTCTTCATACTTTTACATTCCCTTTCCATTGAATTTTTGTTAGCATGCTATTCTGTCATGGAGGCACTATCTTGTCCCTTTGACATAGTATTAGGTAGTTTGTTTTTCTTTCCATAGTTTGTTTCCTCTGAGATGCTCTTTTCTGATTTTGGTGTATTTCTTCAGCTTGGTTATTAAAGCGTGGAGACCTACAAAGGTAATTGGGAACTCTGACCATACAGATATGATTTATGACTTCAGTCCTTAATAAAGTGATCTGGATGAAGCATTTGTTGGGAGCCTTGGATGTCAGTGTATTTAGAACTTTTCTTTTTCCATTGGCTGTATTCCCCAGATTCCTTTGTGTGGAGTTTTTTTTTATTTGTTTCGGGTTTTTTGGTTTTTTGAGATAGGATCTTGCTATGTAGTTCTGGCTGACCTTGAACTCATTACGTAGCCCAGGCTGGCTTCAAACTTTTGGTGATTGTCCTGCCTCAACCTCCCAAGTGCTGGGATTACAGGCATGTGCCACCACACCTGGCTGTGCAGAGGTAAAGGCTCATCTGCCAAAAGTTCTGGGAGTAGGGAAAGGGAAGAGAGCTTGAGGGGTGGAGGTGCAGCATTCAGTGAATGCACGTGTGTGAGACGTGTCACTTAGTTGGCCCTTGTCTTCCCTGTGCAGCTCCTCACATCCCCTCCCCCATGGTCCACAGACCCTCTGGCTTCCTTCCTAGGACTGTGCCTTCAGTCCTCTGCTGGCAGGAGAAGCCTGGCTGCTTACAGCATGAAGTGGCAAGGAGATCCGAGAGCTATGGGAAGAGTCATGCCTTCACTGGTCTGTAGAGAAACAAAATCTCAGAAAATCCCAGATGGCAGAGCTGTGGGAGTCGGATGATCAGACTAGCTTTGGTAGAATTTTTGCTTTTTTAATTTCTTTGTAACCTAAGCTTAATACATGTATGTTTTAGTAGAATAAATTTAATTTCCTTTAGGCTTAATTTATGATAGGATGACAGAGATATACATACACAAGCAAATTTACGGATTTTTTCTTACTAAACACTGAACACATTCCTTAATGTAAAAACTGACGCTAGGGGCTGGGGATTTAGCTCAGCAGCACAGCGCCTGCTGTGAGTTCGATTCCCCGTACCGGAAAAAACAACAACAACAACAACAAAACCTTATACTGATAAAAGTAAATTTTTTGGTTAATCATGATCCATTCTGTATATCGGTATATGATTACCTCTATAAACCTAACAACATTTATGGAGATTTCATTTAGTATTCATGAACCTTTCATGTAAGGCACCTAGAGCAAATGCTTCTACAGTATTTAGGCTACTTAGGAAAACTGTAACCAGTTTTCACAAAAATATAACAGCATTTTTAAAATGTGGGCTGTTAATCTATATCATTTAACTTCTGGATGTAGCTCACATTTAAACTCCGTATTTAAACGTGAAAGTGGTTAGCGGGACCATGCTGCACCTATTTTGTCACATACCCCTGCGCTGCTTATTAAAATTCAAAGTGTTGGGGGCTGGGGATTTAGCTCAGCGGCAAAAGCGCCTGCCTGGCAAGCGCAACGTCGTGAGTTCGGTTCCCGGTACCGGAGAAAAACCAAAAAAAAAAAAATTCAAAGTGTTAATTTTCTCTCCTTTATCAACAAAGGATTATTAAACGTTTGCTCTGTACACAAAATACTTCCCTTCATTCAAGGAACTTAGACTATTGAGGAGACAACCCTGCACAAGTGGAACAAAGTGGCAAAATACATTCTGAAAGATGACAAGTTATGAGGGTTCACAAGAGGAACAGAATGAATATAGAAATGTATGTGATGGGGCTGGGGATTTAGCTCAGCGGCACAGCGCCTGCCTGGCAAGCACAAGGTCGTGAGTTTGATTCCTGGTACTGGAAGAAAAGCAAAAAAACAAACAAATAAACCAAAAGAAATACATGTGACACATACAGGGCTTACAAGGCAGGCTCAGCGGCAGCCTGCAGTCAGGGTGGAAGATGTGAAAGGGCTGTGCGTGCTGGAGAACCACAGGCTCCAGGTCAGAGTTGGAGGCTGAGCTCCTGCAGCTCTGGTGTGGGCCCACATAGGAAAGGTGGAGGGCATGTGCTGAAAGCTGAAGGGTGCACTGGAAGCCTGGAGATGGATGTCCAAAGGCGATGACCAGGACAGGACCTCCTCTGAAGAAGTAAAAGCAAGACTTCCTTCTTTTTTATTCCGCCCGGGTTGCACATGCAGGGTGGGTCATCCCTCTTTAATAAATGGTTGTCCAGACACACCCAGGGCTGTGCTAAACTAACCTGCTAGACATTTCTTACCCAAACTGACACCACAGTTAACTGTAATAGGCAAGAAAGGGACTGAAATCGGGATATCAGCTGTGAGGTTATTTATTCTTCAGCGAACGTTTAAGGCAAGTCCCTGACTTACGAACAAGTTCCATTTGGGAGAACTTTCTTAGGTTGGATTTGTCTGTAAGTCTGACAAAGTGAGTCTTAAACACCTTTGACACAAATATATAATAGAAAGCTAGCTGGGGATATAGCTCAGTGGCCAAGCACCTGCCTGGCAAGTGCAAGGTCCTGAGTTTGATTCCCAGTACCAGTAACAAAAAACCAACCAACCAACCAACCCTGTAAGATGTAAAGCATAAAAAATTTCACGTTTCATGATCTTGTGCTTGTCCTTTAGAATCGTGCCAATGGTTGAATGATTCACATCATAAGAACGAGCAATGTCTACCATCTTTTCACCTTGGTCCAGCCTCTCAATTATTTTTACTTGTTTCCAAAGTTACTGCTTTGCGCTCCCTAGTACTCACCACCGCTTTTCCTCTTGCTTCCGGACACCCTGGGCTCTGATTGAGCACTGTACTGCTGTACAGAACCACAGCTGTGACAGTGTCCAGAAGACACTTGAGCTATGTCTACAGTTTGCTCACATCTATGAATACTTGTAATGTGGGGCCTGTTCATATTTGTGAAAGTTCACAACTTGAACGTTCGTAAGTCAGGGCCTTAACATACTTGTTTTGTAGTACGAGGGATCCAGTCCCTGGGTGCTCTACCACTAAGCTATATCCCCACCCTTTATATGTTGTATTTTGAGATAGGCCCTTGCTCAGTTACCTAGGCTGGCTTTAAACCCACAGCAACCCTCTCGTCACTGCCTCCCTTAGTGCTGAGGCTGTAGGCATACGCCACCATGTCTGGCAAAGCAAACATTTATTAAGGACCTTCTATGTATGTCAGTTTGTACTCAGAGCTACAAAGAGAGATAAACCTGTCTGGGGTTTAAAGGTGTTTACACTCCAGTTGGAGGGGATAGATATGAAAGATTAAAAGTATAAAATATTACCTGTGCAAAGCCTAATAGGAACAGAAAAGGGAAGGGATATAGTAATTCTGGGACAGTCCACATAGCTGACATTCCAGCAGCGTTTTCAGAGTACGAGATGTTTACCAGGTGCTTTAGTTCAGGTGAAGATAACAGGCAGTGATCGAACAGATGCTTCACCTTTAGGGTGGCTGCTTAGTAGTAATTTGCACACTTTCCTCCTTGAAAAAGAACTCTGAAGACTGCTCAGTTGATGGTGACCAAGGAAAGGAAGCAAGGAAGAAGAGCGGGTGTGGGGAGAGAAGATGGCAGGCTGGATTAGTTGGGAGTGATCGTGAACACTGATGTGAGAGTGACCAGGAGGTAAACTTGGGAGTCAAAGGCTTGGTGCTCGGGCCCCAGATGGACACATGAAGTTTGCATTCTCCTAAGAGACGCTTGAGCTCTACAGAGAACTCAAGTCCTGTCCTGTCCATGGCTCTGATAGAGAAGAAAAAGGGACCAATGTTGAAGCTACTTTTTAAATCAGCCTGTAACTCCAATGTAGATACCAAGTTCTTTTACTCCTGTAGTACGTACTTCTTAAACATATATAATTGTAAATCTCATCACCAAATTTTTACTACTACTTTTATTTCTAAACAGAATAAATCTTTTTTTTTTTGTATCAGGAATCGAACTCAGGACCTTGTGCTTGCCAGGCAGGTACTGTGCCACTGAGCTATATCCCCAGCCCTTTTTTTTTTTTTTAAAGAGGAAAAGTTTATTTATCTTACAGTTTGTGGAGGTTTCAGTTCATAGTCAGCTGACTCCAAGGCAGGGTGGTGCATGGCAGAGGGCAACAGTTCATGGCCACAGAAGACAACAAAAGCAGCAAGACAGAGCAAAATAAATCTTTTTAAAAAGCACTTTGTTCATTTACTGAGTTTTAAAATTTTTTCACCCTCAGTGCTGGGTACTGAACTCAGGCCCCTGTGTATGCTGGGTGAGCTCTCTCCCTAGCTCTGTTTGCTGACTGAACACCTACTTTCATTTTCAAGAAGTTAGAGAAGTAGAACTGTGATTATTACATGTAGTAAATAGAGCTAGAAAACCAACTGCTAAAGGGCAAGAAAAACCTGAATAACTGACACTGGCTTATCCCAAGGAGTAATTTTTTTTTTTTTAATCCCAGGAGTGGAAGATTGTGAAACAATGGAAGATGTATACATGGCTTCTGTAGAAACTGACCGGGGAGTAAAGGAACAGTTACATTTTTATGACACCAGAGGCCTACAAGAAGGCGTCGAGTTGCCAAAGCATTATTTTTCATTTGCTGATGGCTTTGTTCTTGTGTACAGTGTGAATAACCTTGAATCTTTTCAAAGAGTGGAGCTTCTGAAGAAAGAAATCGATAAATTCAAAGACAAAAAAGAGGTAGGTGGGTATGTTAAAAATGCCAGCTGTGAGCCAGGTGTGGCGGTGCATGCCGGTAATCTCAGTACCAGGAGGCTCACTGTGGAGTTCAAGAGGAGAGGGTGACATAGTGAGTTCAAGGCTAGCCTGAAATATATAGTGAGACCCTGTCTCAACTCCTCCCAGCCAGAAAATAGCTGTGTGTGAACTGTAATACTATTTACAGGTGGTTTTGGGGTAGTTAACAGATTTTAAAGCCAGCAAATTGTATTTTCAGTATCTGTAACTGCAGTATTTTTCTTAGCCCAGGAAATACAGTACTGACAGTTCATTCAGGCCTAGCATTTGACCTTCTGCATTTTGGTTGTTTTACCATGTAGAGGTTAAATTTAATTGCTCTGTATCTCAAGTACTGTAAAGTTGTTTGGAATCAGTTTCCTCAAACTTTTTTTTTTGGTATCGGAAATTGAACTCACGACCTTGTGCTTGGCAGGCAGGCACAGTGCCACTGAGCTATATCTGCGGCCCCTTCAACTTTTTATTGTCTATTGGCTGAAGAGATTTCTTTTCATCCTTGTTTGGAGGGGGCTAGTGAATAATTACTGTAGCCTACCTAGTGACCACCTAAAATAAGATCCACAAGCCTTACTATGGTATATAATGACAGGAACCTGGCCAGTGCTTATCCTTTTCATCTTAATCTTTCTGCTTCTCTCACTGTACTGCAGCGACACTGGTCTACTTTCTGTTTTTCTGACATCAGTAACTGTGATGCCTGTTAAAGGCTTCTCAGTTGCTGGTTCCCTTGCCTGGAACTCTCTTAGCATAGCTCTTCCTATGCTGATTCCTCCTCATGCAGGGTGTACTGAATAGTAGTACTAGCAGATCTTCTTACCTAACATTTTGTATTTTACTTATTTTTATGTTAAACTTTCTGAGATTATTGTCATTTAAAAAAAATGTTATCCAGTTAGTTGTTTATTTTTAGAGATGGGTCTTCCTATGTTGCCCAGGATGGGCTTGAACTTCTGGGTTCATGTGACCCTCCTGCATGTGACCCTTCTGCGTGTGACCCTCCTGCTTTACCTTCTCTAGTAGCTGGGAACTGCAGCTCCCTCACAGCAGTTTCACGAACTGATACAGAGATCCCTTGTCCAGTTAACCTACTGCTGCCATCTTACAAACTGTGCTTCAGCTGGGTGTAGTAGTGTGTATCTGTAAGCTTGGCTACTTGGGAAACCTGAGGCAAGAGGAATGCAAGATTCAGAGCAGCCTGCATTCCTTAACAAGACTATCAAAATAAAAAAGCTAGGATAGCTGGATGTGGTGGTGCACACCTGTAATCCCGGCACCGAGGAGGCTGAGGCAGGAGGATCACCATGAGTTCGAGGCTAGCCTGTACTACACAGGGAGACCCTGTCTCAAAAACAAAAACAAAAACAAAAATAAAACCCACAAAGGGATAGGATACAGCTCATTGGTGGAGCACTTGCCTAGCACATGTGAGGCCTTGGCTTCATCCCTAGTGCCATAAAAACAGATGAATTTATTACAACCAGGATATTTACCTGGAGACTAGTCAAAGTGCAGAGTATTTCCATCATCACAAAGACCCATCACGTTACCCTTCTCTAGCCACACACCTCCCTCCCTGCCCTTCTGTTCCTTACCCCAGTAACCATGCAGCTAGTCTCCAATTCTGTGATCTCGTCATAATGAAAGTATTACATAAATGGGATCATACAGTGTGCAACCTTTTGGAGTTGGCTTTTTTATATTCAGCCAATTCTTTAGAAAATTCTGGAGAATCATCTAAATTGTTACATGTACCAGTAGTTTACTCCTGTTTATTGATGAGTGATACTCCATACACAGCATGATCACAATATACAATCTTTAGAAGCTTAGTACACTAAAATATACCAATAAAATTAATTTTTAAAAAAATTTATGAAACAAAGTAAATAGAAAAGGAAAAAGAAAGGTAATTATTGTAAGACACATTGCCATTAAGCCCTAGGTTCAACTTCCAGTTTGAGTGGGATTAATGGGAATGTGGCATTTACTGTAATAAATACAAACCCGTCCAACATCCACTGTAGTTTTCAATCACAGCTCACACATTTACACCGAAATTTCTTTAACCACCTGTCCGCTGAAGGACATGAGTTACTTATTTTTATTCTTTTTAGTTTGTGACTATAACACTCACAAGCCTCTACCTTCAAAAGATACAAAGGGCAAGTAATGGCAGCTTCCTCTTAGTTCCCATCTTTCTCAGATGAACGCTATACTTCCTTCCGTATTCTCCACATTCCCCCGTGCCCCTCAAAAGTTGAACAGGTCGGTGAGCATTTACATACGGAATTACATTTTGCCTCTTTTTCAGCTTTTCTGTCACAGTTTCTTGCCTGTATAATGAGGACAATAGTGTTTTTCTCATGGTTATTACAGAGCTTTAGGAAGCATATTAACTTCAAAAATGCTTGGTGAGCAACTGCTGTGTGCAGCCTTGCTTCTGGGTACAGAGAACTAGGGACACAGTTCTTGTTCCTATCATAAAGCTTCCGTTTTGGGGTGGAGAGGGCACAGGCAACGTGCAAGTTCCCACGCAGTGATGCTGCGCAGGAAGTAAAGCGGCGTGGAGAGTGAAGGCACCGCAGTCTGCGGGGCACCTGGGAAGGCCTCCCCGGTAACAGTGACTTCTTGCAGACACGTGAAGGAAGCGAGGAAGAAGGGGGCGTGCTGTGGGTGGAAGGAACAGCAAGCTGTAGGGTCTGAAGCCCAAGTTTGCCTGTCACACTAGGAAACAGCAGTAAGGCTGGACTCTGGGCTCAGAGGTGAGTCATAGGAGATGAGGGCAACACCTTGGCTTTCACTTTTTGTTCGATCAGAAGCCATTGGTTCTAGGTGAAGAAATGATGCGGCTTAGGCGGCATTTATTAATTTTTTTCTTTTTGAGACAGGATCTCATTATGTAGTTTAGGCTGGTCTTGAGCTATGCAGTCCAGGCTGGCCTCAAAGTCATGGAGGTCTTCCTGCCTCAGCCTCCCAAGTGATGGGATTACAGGTGTGTGGCACCACACCCATAAATTTTCCTATTTTCTTTACAAATTGAATAGGTAATGCTTGCATATGGTTCACGAATGAAAATGACAAGTGAAATGGACTCTTATGAAGTCTGGTTTCCACCACTGTCCTTAACCACCAGGATCCTGCACCTAGAGGCTGGGGGCAAAGCTGTGGTGAACGTGTGCTTAGTGTCTACACAGAGCCCTACATTCAGTTCCCAGGAAACTCCCCCACTCTGCCTGAAAGGATTCTGCATGCCTTTGAATATTTTACTCCTTTACTAGAGGTGAAATGAATCAGCTTAAGTGGGGCTTACTGCCAAATTATCTTCCACAGGATTAGTGTGAAAATGCCTCTTTCCAGCATGTGGATTTCAGATTTCATGAAAATGGGAGTTTGATTTTTTCTTAAAATGAATGAGATTGAGGATCTTTTGACTTGTGTGAAACTGACCGCTCTGGCTGGTTGCTGGTAGTGGACAGGAGAAGCAGGAATGTAGCATTTCCAAGTTGGAGGGTGTTTCAGTCACTGTTTTTGTCCCTGGGACAGAATACCTGACACAATTTAAAGGAGGCTTATTCCCGCTCAGAGTTTGCAGTGGTCTCAGTTCACTGGATGGCGTGGCAGGGGAGAGCTGCTCCCGCCTGGTGGACGAGGAGAGAAGCGAAGGGCAGAGCCAGGGTGGGAGGTAACCCTTCCAGGCCGCTGCCGTCTCCAGCAGCCTCTCCTGACCAGATCTCCCCTGGGCACAGGAAGGCATGAGCTGGTCACCTCCCAGAGGCCCTCCCTGCTTGTGAGCACATGAGGCTCTGGGCTGGTATCGAGGGTCACGAGAAAGCAGCTGAGGAGTCTTCTGAGAGAACAGCCAGTTGGAGGGAAAACCTTGAGATGAGGGTATCCCAGAAAGCAAGCCGGCACTTTAAATACCAGGGAGTAATCAAACTGTCAAATGTTGCAGATGTGTCAGCTGACGACTAAGAATGAGTGTTTATTACATGGAGATCTGGACTAAAATAGTTGAGTGAAATGAGCTGAAGTCTGGGCTCAATGAGAGAATTGAACACAACGTAGGTCTTTGGGAGAACTCTGCTATAAAGGAGTAGGAGGATGTGGTGCAAGGTTTCATTAGGTAAGAGACCATGTGTTTGTATGTGAATGGGAGTGACGACGTAAAGGGAAAACTGAATGGAAGACAACTGCTGCTGCGATACCCCGGTCCAGCCGTAAGAGGGTGGGGTCTAGAACAGTGAGATGGGTTGGAAGTTGGCAGTTCGTTAGTGTGGCGGAAACAACTGCTTGTTTTCTGTTTTACTGAAATAGTCTCATCAGCTGAAATGAAGGAAGAGGTGTAGGCTTAGGGGAGGAGAGGGCCAACGCCTGAGATGCTGTCTGGTTACAGAATAAATGGAGAAAATGCGATACCTTTGCTGGGGAACACCAGCTTGAGGTCAGTGGTGATGGATGAAATCAGCTAAAAGGGCAGTGCGTGTTTCTCCAGCCACAAACAGCCAGTGGTATAAACAGTCTGGTTTAAGAGTTATATTTAACGTAAGAGGGGGTTTTGCCAGGCGAGTATGGTGGGATAGTGGGGGAAGGGAGTAGAAGACAAGAATCTGAGCTGGGGAAGAATTAAAGACACGAGTGGGGTGGAAGGACAGTGATAAGGGCAGTAGAGCTAACGGAGTGTTTCAATTGCTGCATTAACAGTATTGGGCTTGCCTGGGAAGGCAGGGGTCAGCGGGATGCTGGGAGTTGAGAGGAGATAGGGGAGCAGATGCATCGTCAGGGTCTAGGCTGGGACGACAGGCTGAGGGCAGAGTAAGGTCACTGGAGAAGTCAAAGCGCTGGGACTGGGTGGCTGGGAGCAGCGTGCACATGGCCAGCGAAGTCATCGGGCGCTATGAGCAGTGCAGTGTGGCGAGGGGCATGTCCCTGAGGCAGCTCTGTGAGGGGAGTGGGTAGTATACTGAGCTCTCTAGGGAGCGGTACTGTTGGGGCAGCACTGAGGAAAAGGGAGGACGCACATTAACCGCCTTCGCTCCTTTTCAGCCCTCAGTGGTAATGGATTGGAGGGGAAGGGCAGGAAAAGCAGGGCCAAGTTCCATTTCAGGAACGTAAGGGAATGCACAGAGTGGTGGTAGTGAGGTTCTGCAGCTGCGGAGATGGTGATACTGGGGAATGTACGTGAGGAAGAGCGGAAGAGCCCAGTGCGGTGGTAAGTAACGGTATTCCCCCTCCGGAGGTGGAGGGAGGAGCATCACAAGCCCAAGGTCAATTGGAGCAACTAGAGATTCCCCAGTCTTAAAAAGGTCTGGAAATGCAGCTCAGTGGTCAAGTGTCCTTGGACTCAATCCCCAGTCCATTGAAGGTGTGACAGGAAGGCAGCTCCTGCTGAGACGGAGCAATACGAAGTTTACTAAGGAAACCAGAGCTAGGGGCTCACGCCTTCCTCCTGCCAGGAAGAAGGGCTTGCCTCACTGGGAGCACACCTTAAAGGTAGGAAACTGGCGCAGAGGCCTCCTGGCTTGGCGCTGTCTCCCAGAGGTGCCTTGCTGAGAGTTCTGGGCCCCCTTCCTCCACCGCCTCTCCTCCCTTCCCTCGGGCTTTGACACGACTGTACCTGCTGTGTTCTGGTCCCCTCGAGCAGTGCCTGGTGAGCAGGAGCGTCAGGTTTAAATAGGTGACTGACTTTTATCTAGTATAAAGTGTTTCTGTGGGCTTATGATTTGTCAAACGGCAGGTACTTTTTGAGGACTGAGAGTAACACATCTCCTTTCCATGGAATTTAGATTCCGCAGGGTACAGTGCTCTCGTAGCTCGTTGTTGTCTTCTACGTAAGTGCTACACTGCAAATCCCCTAGTGTCTTAGTCACTTTCCTATTGCTGAGACAACCCAACACCCACAATTTAAAGGAGGTTTATTTTGGCTCAGTTTGTAGAGGTCCGTAATCATGTGGCTCCACGGCACAGGAGAGGCAGCAGCAAATGGAGGGAGATCAGAGGAGGAGGCAGGGAAGGAGATGTTTTAAGGCCCCGGCCCCAATGACCCCCTCTTCCGATCTCACTTGCCAACATCGCATTAAGCTACAACTAATCCACCTGTGAGTTTCCTGCTGTCACGGTCCAGTCCCCTCCCCAAACCCACCCGTGAGCGATATAAACGGTAACACCCAAGCATAGCCGCACGGGAACACACACTGAGACCGTCTTAAAGCGTTATTCGGATGTTCATCTCCAAGGCTGTCTTCCATTCATACCTGAATTAAAAGCAACTCTACCCATTTTTTTTCCATAGCATCCTCTGGAAGGTGTGCATGGTTTGGTTTTGTTTGGTTTTTTAAATAAAAAGGCACTCAGGAAGATGGGGATACCTTACTCTTTAATGAAGCAGTTTGTTAAACAGGACAGTGTTTCTTCCTTAATTCATTCTGTGTGAAAGCTGACGTGGGCGAAGGACTAGTGTAATTTTTCTCATGCACTTTCTTTCAGGTTGCAATTGTTGTATTAGGAAACAAAATTGACCTTTCTGAGCAGAGACAAGTGGACGCTGAAGTGGCACAGCAATGGGCAAAGAGCGAGAAAGTGCGACTGTGGGAGGTCACCGTCACAGACCGGAAAACCCTGATTGAACCTTTCACCTTATTAGCCAGTAAACTTTCTCAGCCCCAGAGCAAATCAAGCTTTCCTTTGCCCGGGAGGAAAAACAAAGGAAACTCCAGCTCTGAAAACTAAAAACCGGCAATTACACCATTGTTTGTTGAATAGTGATTGCCTGTAATTGTGAATACTGAGTAAGCTTAATATTTAAATAGGCCATTTGTGTCTACCTTTGGCCTTTAAGGAAGCTCCTAAGTAATTTAATGTACTTTAGGTTATTACAAAATTAGACTAATTACTGCTTGATATGAAATTATTTTCATTCCTCTTTTGAAGTCTGTCCCTGAAATTGGCACCTGTAATTTATGTTGTCTAAACAACAAAATAAATTGGAATGTTACGCACATGTACATCCACGACGTCTCAGAAGCTCTCTATCATGTCCTGTAAACATTTTAGCTCAAATGTCTCTTTCTGCAAGTTTATTAATCATTTAATGCCTAGGGTTATGAACCTTGACACTTCATGCAACCAAACTGGACCGGCAGCCATGAACAGTGTAGGTACTGCGTACTAATTATCTCATGGAGAGCCCACTGAGCTAGACAACAGTCAGGGACTGGCTTTGCTCCAGTTCCACTGAACGTGATGTAGCAGGCAATGGGAAGAGCTTTACCATACCCACTGGCCTCTTTTTATTCTTCAGCTCCTGCCCGTTGATAAACCAAAAAACAAAGGCATTTAAAAAATGACTAAGCAGTTTTTCTAGAAGGATTATCATGTTTTTCTAGACGCCTACTCATGTGCTGTAAAATGTATCATAAAGTACTGGGCTACACTGTGATTTTCTGAAGATTTTGGGAAGATCTGAGCAATGTGGTTAATTTTATTTAGCAAGGAGATAGCATGATACTTTTTAGAGGAAGTAAGCCACTTGATTTCAATGGTGAATGAAGCAGCTAACCATCTGACTTCCAAGTAAATAAGAAATAAGCTGTTCAGCAAAGAACATGTTAAAACATCAAGTAAACTAACATTTTAAATGGAATACTTTCAAAATTAGCTTGCTCAATTTAGTGAGTTCAAGTCAATACTACACATATAAAAGTTAGTACTTATAAAAATAAGCTGTTGCTGCTATGTGTAATTCTTTTAAATTTCACATGATTTTTTTCTCTCTTTTATCCTCTGGCTTTTTGTCCCTGTGTAATTTAATAGACCTTGTAGTATGCTTTTTTCTATTGACTGCAGTGTAGATCTATATGAGTACCCATAGAGTTACCACACTTTGCTAAAAAGCTGTAGTGGATGTACATGCAGTAGGGCTTGTCTGGAAGGATCACACAGGGTTATGGAAACTGCTCTACAAGGTAGGCAGAATACATTTCTTGTGTACTTTCTACCATAGCACCTGCAAGTTAGAAAACGCATTTGAAAGATGCAGTGGTAGCTAGGCATGGTGGTGCATGCCTATAATCCCAGCACTTGGGTTGGATCCAAGGAAGCCCGGGCTACATTGTAAGACCATGTTTCCAGGAAGAATAAATAAAAAGATGCAGCAGAGTTTGTGTGTGAAACCTAGATAGGTTAGATTTAACCTTTCAAGACATCTCCTGATCTACTGTTGAACAGAAGTTATTTAGAAGGGAAGAATCTGGAAACTACAACCAAAAAGGTGAAGGAAAGTAAATGAACAGGGGAGTGTCAGTTGATTGTTTTTAATATGGTTTATTAGCACAGTAACAAATGCAGACGTAAGAAGTCTACAACATGTAACCAATCCAGAGTGACTCCTATTCCACGCCTTACACTGAACAGCTTAAGGTATTTCACTACAGGTTCTCACAGGTTCTGATTCAAACCTTTAAAGTAAATTCCATATAAAATAAAATACATTAACTACTCATTTCCTACATGGTGTCTTATAGCCACATCTATTTTATATATATATTTATATATATATATATTTATATGAGATGACAATCTTAAAAACTCTGTTAAATATCAATGTTCCCTTCCAAGAAGGGACAAACAAACTCCAATTTTTAAAACAAAAAGTGTGCCATCTTACGACTTTACATAAATGGCCATGTGTGTAACCTGTACAAAATTAAGCTGTTTAAAAATTACATACTACAAGCAACTGAATCCAAGTATCTAAGTGTACATTCTTTTCCATACTACATTTCAGCCAATATTGTAGAACTAATGAGTTTTAAAAGTTGCTATTACCAATTTTGTCTACTGTAGCAAGATACCTTAAGTTACAACAAAATCTTAGGAAATAAAACTGAATAATATCTGTTATAGAAATACCCTACTCTTTACCAACTCCCACCCTCCCCTGCCCCTTCAAAATCATAAGCAGCTCTCTTCTGTGACAGACAAATAATGTAGGAATTGTGAAAACGCAATTCAATTTATGTAGCGTATCTCTTGGTCCACTGTCTGGCCATTCTGTCATGTTCTGCTCTGTTGGTCATATACTGAGTGGCAATACTTCCCACCAAAGGGTCAGCTGGGGGGGAAAGAAAAACTACATTACTTTGGAGAGAGGAAAATAACATTTTATAGCCAATTACAACACAGTATTTGTGATCTAACCTGTTGGAAATACCACTTGCCTAGTCTTGTGTTTTTCCTTCTACTATTTTAACAAGAGAATGAGGCGGGGGAGGGAGTCTCACAGATATAGAATGCTCTAGCTTTATTTTCTTAGTCCATTTCTCTCCCAACAAGTAACACTCAACGGAGTTTTTCTGCTGTTCGTATTCCGCGAAACTCCATAGAATCTGGAATGTTTCAGGCTCCAGCTCACCGCGAGCACACAGCTGTGCGCACACGGCCTTCGGCTCGGCGGCACTCCGCACGGCCTGCGAGTGCTACGAAACCTCACCAGTGTGTCCAGGGGAACCTGGGTGAGAGGGCAAAACCCAGGTCTGTCCTCTCAACACAGAATCTCTGTATTTGGTTTAGCCGAAGAAAAGCAGCTTATAAATAAAAGAAAATGAAGGTGCAACAAAAATCTCAATTCAGGAAATTACTGAGCATCTAGTAAAAAATGCGAAGAAAAAAAGGGCGGGGAGCATTTTCAAAATTGCAGGCTACCTCAGTTTCAAGCTTTGGGCCAGCCCACAAGAAACGCGGCATTTAGAGTAGGCGGTTTAAAGACAATTGTATGGAAAAAATAAGGGCAATGATTCAAAATGCGGAAACCTCAGACAAACATCATGTAAGTCTTAAGACAACTCCTTCCTAGGACATACCAATTCATGACAAAGTTGCCACATTTTTCAACTAGTGAATTCACCTCTTGATTAAATATTTCCTTTGAAAGCTTTAGAAGAATCTTAGTTTCAGTAGAAAACAAGTATTTTTCAAGTGAGGAAGAATAAAACATAAGAAAATTATTAAGAACCTTACCAGGATTACAGTCTGTAAGAAGTGAGCAGATAGAAAGGAGGACTTTAGAAATAGTTAGTGCTGGACTCCAATTATCTTTCAATATATCCAAGCAAATAACTCCTTGACTGTTAATATTACAGTGATAGATTCTTGTCCGAAATGTAACCTAAAAAAATAAGGTAGTGTCAAATAATGTTCAAATGGCAAACTTCAAATTTTTAATTGATCCTAAACAAACTCCCATCTATTTTGGTTGTTAAAAGGTGAATAACATAATACAAAATAATTTAAAACTGACATGACAGGTTAACACTGTTTAGTGACTTTGAGGTGAGATGGTAATTCCTGCGTACAATCTCTGGTATTGTCAATTTCATTTGAAAGTAAAAAGCAAAGTAAGTTCAAGACTTTCTTAATTCTTATATTAACACTGAAATTCAAGTGTGAATAGTTAATTGTTTGCTGACCTCTTGTGTCAGCTGGTAGTACTACACTGCTCAAAAGTAAGCTTCAGAATCATGAACACTGAACCATAAATCGTCAGACTCATTAAAAGCTAGCCAAATAATGGCTACACACCCAAAAAAGCCGAACGAAATTTGAAGATATATTTTTGTTTTTTATGACTCACACACCAGATCCAGCTAGTCTACCAAAATCACCCAGACTAGACATTAACACAAGTCACATGAATATGTTATTCTGATACCAATGTAAAAATTACTGTAATTGCTGTTTTTTTTAAAAGATGACTTGATTCTTGCTGTTATTTCTGACTGGACATGAGAATCACAGATTGCTAAGTGTGGAAGAAATGAGTGGTCTGGGCGATCCCCACCTGTCCTACTCAGAGAACTGAGGGAGGACTTAAACAAAACTGAGAGATGAGAAAAGGACTTCAAAGCTTTACAGGAGATTCCGATTCTCTGGTTTCAGTGCATTTGTTTTAACTTTATATGTCTTTTTGTGTAAGGCAGAAAATAGGGGACAAAGTCTGGGTTGCTAACATTACTATAAAAAGCACAATTTAGTGTGGTGGCACACACCTGTAATCCCAGCACTCTGGATCACTGTGAGAGGTCAAGGCCAGCCTAACATAGTAGGACCCTGACTCATAAAAACAAAGCAAACAAAAACAGCATAATTTAAAACACTCATTCTGAGACATGGTCTCTGCCAAATGAGGCAGAGTCAAACAAGTGTCTTGGTAAGCTCGCACACACAGATTCCAGGTTCCTTAAGGTGTAACAGAAATCTGGTTTTGTGGTGAAAAACTAAATCGGGGGTTTCTTACCTTTGGAGGTTTGAAGGGATATTCTGGAGTGAAAGTGATATCCAGGAAGAATACACCACCTTCATACACAGATCCTGGAGGTCCTAGAATGGTAGATCTCCACTCATAGATGTTGTCACCTTTAGGCCCAGCACTGTGGAATAACGTATCAACAGGTAAGTGGTGGCACCATCCCAAATTCTTTTTTTTGTTTTTTTTTTTTGTTTTTTTCTCCGGTACCGGGAACCGAACTCACGACCTTGCGCTTGCCAGGCAGGCAGAGCTAAATCCCCAGCCCCCATCCCAGATTCTTACATGGTCTCCAAAGAGGGAAGCTCACTTCTCTTTTCCCTCTTAGTTTACTGTGTGGATTCTCCAAAAAAGCACCTTTTAGGCACAACCTGAGGTAGTACGGCAACACATGCATCAGCCAAATCACCTGGCTGAAGGAAGAATGTGAGATCCCTTCTTGTGTCTCAAGATCCCATTTGTGTCTCAAGCCTTTCCTTGACACACAAAATGCAAACAATACAAAAGAGAAACACCTATTAGCACAAAGAAGCTACTTCAGTGACAAAGGACAGATGTTTTCTTAGAGCTTGTAACTGTGGGCATTTAAAGCACAAAAGTTTAATTTTTCTGACTTTGGCTCTTCTTCCTTGCTCCTTATCCCCACAGTCTTACCCTAAAAAGAATGTAACAGATGCTGTTCTCTTTACATTGTAAGCTTTCCTGGGT